CTACTCTACTCTGCTCTGCTCTACTCTACTCTACTCTATTCTACTCTATTCTACTCTGCTCTGCTCTGCTCTACTCTACTCTACTCTACTCTACTCTACTCTACTCTACTGAACTCTACTCTACTCTACTCTACTCTACTCTACTCTACTCTACTCTACTCTACTGTGCAGTTTTTTCTAAGTCAATGTGTCATGTCATAGCTGTCACCCCATTCTTTCTGTAGACAGACATCTTTGAATCTTAATTTGGAGCAAATATTTAACAGAGTTTCAGAGGAATTGGTGAGTTGACTTTTAAAGCATTGGAAGAGAGTTCACAAACGAGTTGTATCCATCTTGTGTGTGGTGCTGTGAGTTACTGCCCCAAATACGAAGATTGTAGAGCAATGGAAGTAACTAACAGCACACAATTTACCTCTACCCACTTATTATGTTCGATGTTTGGGCTCAAGACCTTGTTGACTGGCAAACTGTGTATAAACCAAACAAACTGACATTTCTTATCTAAATATAATCAATTGAATTCAACAGGAAACCCTCCTCTTGTGTCATATCCCCAAAACTGAAAGAATATCTGAGTTCATCTGACCACAGTCACAGCTGAGACTGCGGAGAGCACCGTGAGACTGCGGAGAGCACCGTGAGACTGCGGAGAGCACCGTGAGACTGCGGAGAGCACCGTGAGACTGCGGAGAGCACCGTGAGAAAGAGAACCAGAATACTGTTATGATGTTGTTGTGTTGTTGTCATTATTGGAAAATAGTCAGTTGAATTAGCAAAACGTAATGTCCACAAAACCAAAACCAAAATATCAAGTGAGAAAAGGAAATCATTCAATCAGTTACTGCTAGGATGTTGTTCTGTGGTGATGGAAAGCCTGGCGGGGTAGGCCCTGTGATTTCCCTTCACTCACAGCCTCTTCCGGCAATATGAAAAGTCCTCTTTTGTGTGGGAAATAAAACTAGCAAAGGACTAAAATATACATGCTGTAGGCCAGGGTTCTTCAATTCCGGTCCTGGAGGGCTGAAACACCTCTGTTTTTCATCCTCTCCTTCTAATCAGGGGCTAATTCAGACCTGGGACACCAGGTGAGTGCAATTCACTACCAGGTAGAAATAAAAAACAGAAGTGTTTCGGCCCTCCAGGACCGGAATTGAAGAACCCTGCTGTAGGCTAAGAATTGGTGAGTGTTGACTTTCAAGGCTGGGTGTGTTGACTTTCAAGGCTGAGTGTGTTGACTTTCAAGGCTGAGTGTGTAAGCCTACATCTATTAGAAATGGTCCCATTCATTATCTAAAAAAACATAAATTAAATTCAACAGCAAAGCCTCGTCATATCTACAAAACTAAATGAAAGTAAAACTTCAGGGGATCACCTCAAAGTCGACCACAACCGGTTACTGTTAAGGGGTTGCATCCCAAACTGCACCCTATTCCCTAGTTAGTGCACTATGGCCTCTGGTGTTGTTGTGATTCTGTGGTGAGGAGAAGCCCTGTGTTTTCCCATCCACTGACTCAGCTGTTGCCCGGGGCGATGGTGACAGTAAATGAACAGGGATGACAGCATTGACAGCTAAACAGACTATGTGTCCCAAATGGAACCCTATTCCCTATAGAGCGCACTACTTTTGACCAGGACCCATAGGGCTCTGTTCAAAAGTAGTGCACAAAAGTAGTGCACCATACAGGGAATAGGGTTCCATTTGGGATGCGTTTCATTCGATCCCCTGTTTTACTTCCCTCTCTGGAGGAATTCAAATGCTTGTCTTTCATAATTTTGTCAGATATACTTGGATGTGTAGTGTCAGCATTTGTTGCTTGCTGGCATGCTCTGAGCGTCTCATGATCTATTCTCTCCCGGGCCCCTCTTTCTCTCTCTCTTCTTTTCTCCTCTCTCTCCCCCTCTCTCTAATCCCCTCTATCTCTCTCTCTTTCCTCTCGCTCCTTCTCCCATCCTTTTCTCCTCTTGCCAACCCTCCCCCCTCTCTCACCTACCTCTCCCCTCTCTCTCTCCCCTCTTGCTCTCTCTCTCTCTCTCCCTCTCTTCCTCCTCTCTCTCTCTCTCTCTCTCTCTCCCTGACTCTCTCTCTCCTTCCCCTCTCCTCCTTACTCTCTCTCGGACTTCTTCCTCTTCTTCCCCGGGAACTCTTCCCTCCCCCCCCCTTTTTTTGGCTTTCTATAGTCATTTGCTCTATGTCAATATGTGTCGCTCAGCTGTTCAAGCTCATCTCCTGGAAATCATCAAGATGAGTCGATAGAATAGTAGAACGAAGATACGAAAGCAGCTCAATGATAGCTCATCGCATGATCTCAGTCCATCAAATTTCATTACTGTATACTACTGCTCCTCATGACTACTCTCTACTGATATTACAGATCTCAGTCTAAGGTAAAATAAGAATAGACGAGCAACAACCAGAGACGAGAGCGAGCAGCAGCTATACTACTTTATCTCCGATGATGGATGAACTGTCTGACATCCACTAGATAGTAGGACAGGAAACACTATACAGCGGGAAAAGACTACGCAAAATAATAACTAGTATATCTGAAAGCAAATATAGAACAGAGGGAACTACAGACATGAGCGAACTACTCCCGAGATATAAGATGATGACCAAGCGTAATACCCCAGAAGAGCACGACGACTAGAAAAGATTAGCGCGAATATCAGAAGAGCAGAGGAGGAAAACGTCGACTCTCTCTTCTCTCTATCTCTCTCTTCTTCTCTATCTCTCCCCCGGACTTCTCTCTCATGTCATCATCTCCTATCTATGCCCCCCTAACCCGCTACTCGATCTACTCTATATCTTTCTTCTTCTCATCTCTCTCTACTGTGGACAAACTACACTCTCTCTCCCCTCCCCCCCCCCTCTCTCCCCCCTCCCTCTCCCTCTCTCTCTCTCTCTCTCTCTCTCTCTCTCTCTCTCCCCCGTGGACTACTCTCTCTCTCTCTCTCTCTCTCTCTCTCTCCCCCCCCGTGGACTACTCTCTCTCTCTCTCTCTCTCTCCCGTGGACTACTCTCTCTCTCTCTCCTGTGGACTACTCTCTCTCTCTCTGGGAAGCTTGCGGCTGTGCTTCCCTTTGTAGTCTGTAATAGTTTGCAAGCCCTGCCACATCCAACGAGCGCCAGAGCCGGTGTAGTAGGATTCAATCTTAGTCCTGTATTGACTCTTTGCCTGTTTGATGGTTCGTCGGAGGGCATAGCGGGATTTCTTATAAGCGTCCAGGTTAGAGTCCCGCTCCTTGAAAGCGGCAGCTCTACCCTTTAGCTCAGTGCGGATGTTGCCTGTAATCCATGGCTTCTGGTTGGGGTATGTACAGTACGTACGGTCACTGTGGGGACGACGTCATCGATGCACTTATTGATGAATCCAGTGACTGATGTGGTGTACTCCTCAATGCTGTCTGAAGAATCCCGGAACATATTCCAGTCTGTGCTAGCAAAACAGTCCTGTAGCTTAGCTTCATCTGACCACTTTTTTATTGACTGAGTCACTGGTGCTTCCTGCTTTAGTTTTTTTGTACATCCTTCTGACTCCATGACCTATATTATACATCCTTCTGACTCCATGACCTATATTATACATCCTTCTGGAGCCATGACCTATATTATACATCCTTCTGGAGCCATGACCTATATTATACATCCTTCTGACTCCATGACCTATATTATACATCCTTCTGGAGCCATGACCTATATTATACATCCTTCTGGAGCCATGACCTATATTATACATCCTTCTGACTCCATGACCTATATTATACATCCTTCTGGAGCCATGACCTATATTATACATCCTTCTGGAGCCATGACCTATATTATACATCCTTCTGACTCCATGACCTATATTATACATCCTTCTGGAGCCATGACCTATATTATACATCCTTCTGGAGCCATGACCTATATTATACATCCTTCTGGAGCCATGACCTATATTATACATCCTTCTGGAGCCATGACCTATATTATACATCCTTCTGGAGCCATGACCTATATTATACATCCTTCTGGAGCCATGACCTATATTATACATCCTTCTGGTTCTTGTTCAGGCTGCTCTCTCTGATGCCAAGATGACATATTATACATCCTCCTGTTGTTTTGCAGACAGAATCCAGGATCTGTTCTGGTGCAGGAAACATTGGAGGAGCACAGAATATTTTTCAGTCTGTGTTAACCCCGGAGAGTGTTACCAGAAAGCATGCCTAAGATATAAGTTATGTAAAACAAGTAATAATAATAATAATATGCCATTTAGCAGACGCTTTTATCCAAAGCGACTTACAGTCATGCGTGCATACATTTTTTTTGTGTATGGGTGGTCCCGGGGATCGAACCCACTACCTTGGCGTTACAAGCGCCGTGCTCTACCAGCTGAGCTACAGAGGACCACAGTCATGACCATACCATACCATACCATACCATACCATACCATACCATACCATACCATACCATACCATACCATACCATACCATACCATACCATACCATACCATACCATACCATACCATACCATACCATACCATACCATACCATACCATACCATACCATACCATACCATACCACACCATACCATACCATACCATACCATATCAGTAATTGTAAGCACCACTTCACCAGGTCCAATTCCTGGTACATGAATGTACTTTGTGTGATAGTGATTGTGATAGCCATTATATAGAGATTATTTTAAAACGTTTGTGTTTGTAATGTTTACCTATTAATGTCTGATTGTTTTTGTTTGTTGTTGTTTTGTTGTCACTTGCTTTGGCAACATATGTTTCCCATGCCAATAAAGCCCCTTTGAATAGAATTGAGAGAGAGGAGGGGGTGGGTGGGGGGTTGGCTTCAATGCTTGGCTTGGCTCCAAAGCACTATGACGTATGTGCAAACTGGAGCGGGCAGTGTGCCAGGAAGGGAAGTCTGACGTCAGTGGTTTCTCCTTCACGGGGTACTATATAAGTCATTTTCACAGGCTTCTTTCAGAACAACCTCGGGACTGAAAAATAATACTTTTATAAACAAGAAACAACCAAAGAAAATACACCCGAGAAGAGGGACGGATTGTTTAATTTTTTATTCTAAATTTATTCATTGTTACTGATTTATTTATCTCTCAGTTTACCTTCATTTTGGGAAAACCTCAAATAAGCTAAGGAGAACAAAATAACATTCAACTGTTTCAAAAGAAGAAATCTACTTGTGACTTAAAAGAAGAAAACCTCACAAGTGTTGAGACGAACAGGTGACACCGACCACCCAGGGGTTTCTTTGCCTTTTCCACAGTCTATGTATTTGGATTTGGCATTTTCCGCCCGCCGCCCTCCTACTATGGTGATCATGGAAGTCCCCAGCATCGATGCCGTGTCCCTCCGCGGGCTTCTGGAGGGTGAAGACCCGGGCTGTCTGGTCCTGGACTGCCGCTCATTCTTCTCCTTCAACTCCTCTCACATCTCCGGGTCCACCAACGTCCGCTTCAGTACTATAGTCCGCCGGAGGGCCAGAGGGGGGCTGGGGGTGGGACACATCGTGCCCAACGAGGACACGCGGAACCGGCTTCTCTCAGGGGAGTATCGGTCGGTGGTGTTTCTGGATGATCGGAGTTTGGACTTCGGCCAAGTGAAGAAGGACGGGACTCTAATGCTCGCCGTGACAGCTCTGTGCCGAGACCCGTGTGGAGCTAGTGTCTTCTTTCTCAAAGGTAATTAGATTTATTATAAACGTGTTATAGTAGCTTTTTTATGTAGCCTAGGCTTCTCCATGTTGATGAAGCAATCGGCGCACAACAAATGTGCCGTTGCGTAGGCCTACGTCAGTTATGAGGTGAACGCTGTGACTGTGCCAAAATAGCCACTATACAGCTGCTTGTAACTGACGGGACTGTTGGACGGTATCCTTACGTCCTGTAACTGAGATGGTGACGGGACTGTTGGACGGTATCCTTACGTCCTGTAACTGAGATGGTGACGGGACTGTTGGACGGTATCCTTACGTCCTGTAACTGAGATGGTGACGGGACTGTTGGACGGTATCCTTACGTCCTGTAACTGAGATGGTGACGGGACTGTTGGACGGTATCCTTACGTCCTGTAACTGAGATGGTGACGGGACTGTTGGACGGTATCCTTACGTCCTGTAACTGAGATGGTGACGGGACTGTTGGACGGTATCCTTACGTCCTGTAACTGAGATGGTGACGGGACTGTTGGACGGTATCCTTACGTCCTGTAACTGAGATGGTGACGGGACTGTTGGACGGTATCCTTACGTCCTGTAACTGAGATGGTGACGGGACTGTTGGACGGTATCCTTACGTCCTGTAACTGAGATGGTGACGGGACTGTTGGACGGTTATCCTTACGTCCTGTAACTGAGATGGTGACGGGACTGTTGGACGGTATCCTTACGTCCTGTAACTGAGATGGTGACGGGACTGTTGGACGGTATCCTTACGTCCTGTAACTGAGATGGTGACGGGACTGTTGGACGGCATCCTTACGTCATTTAGCGGCATCCTTACGTCCGTTCTTGTCATTGTTTAGGTGGTTTTGACACGTTCTCCTCCGAGTATCCAGAGATGTGCACCAAGCCGTCAGCTCCACAGGGACTGAGTCTGCCCCTCAGCGCCCGGCCAGACAGCGCCGACAGTCCATGCAGGACACCGCTTTATGACCAGGTAGGTTTTCTTTTTAAACATGTATTTTGTATGTTATTACTGTGTAACAACACTTTTACCTGTATAGTAAATAAACCAATGTCAGTGTGTCATCAAACAATAGATTCTGCCATCTTAAACTAACCTCAATTTGGTAGGCTATAATAATATGCCATTTAGCAGACGCTTTTATCCAAAGCCACTTACAGTCATGTGTGCATTTTTTTACGTATGGGTGGTCCCGGGGATCGAACCCACTACCCTGGCGTTATGAGCGCCATGCTCTACCAATTGAGCTACAGAGGACCACATAGGCATACGTATTTATAGGCTTGGATTTGACATTGGTTTCTGTTCCTATCTTCATCTCCAATAACACTTTGACACGTTATTACTCTCAAAACAGTGTCAGTGTGTCATCAAACTATATATTTTGACATCTTAGACTAACTTTATTACAGCCTAACTCTTTAGGGCTGGTGGTTGACTGTTTTCTGTCCTGTTCCACTCCTCCTCTCCAGGGTGGTCCAGTGGAGATCCTTCCCTTCCTCTACCTGGGCAGTGCCTACCATGCCTCCAGAAAGGACATGTTAGACATGCTGGGTATCACTGCTCTTATCAACGTGTCAGCTAACTGCCCCAACCACTTTGAAGAGTCCTTCCAGTACAAGAGTATCCCTGTAGAGGACAACCACAAGGCTGACATCTCCTCCTGGTTCAACGAGGCCATAGAGTTTATCGGTGAGTGTCTTAACTGTCTTAGGCTACATTTACATTACATTTAGCAGACACTCCAATCCAGAGCGACTAACAGTCAGTGTATTCAACTTCAGGTAGCTAGGTAAGAAAACGTATTGAGACTTTGGAACTACGTATAAGGTTATATCTGACATTTTTGTAAACAATTAGCTATTCACATATAATTTATCTTTAGATTGTTATTCATATGTCTGTGAAGTTAGATTTTTGAAAAAGTACATTTTAAGTGAAAAAAAAATGGAAAACTAGAAAATTCTATCTGCATAAACCCATTTGAACTTTAGTGCTCTAAGGTTCCATCTGCAAGCCAATCACAAGCCTGAACAAATACAGACGGACCAATCAGAACATGTCTTTGCCATCTCCCTCTAAGCATGGTCTAGTCTAGTCTAGCCAGCGATAACGGCACGCAAGCAAAATAAAAAAACAACACTGTCAGAAATCTTAAAGTAAATGGCGTGGCCACATCGTTGTTCCGTGATGACAGTAATTCGTCTGATGATCATAATGCATTTCTTAATGTATTTGATGATGTGTTCTCTATCTCTATCTTGGTAAAATAGTGTTATTCTATCATTTATTTATTTAAATAGCTACAGTTGTCTTAAAAACGTCTAATTCAGATGTATCAGATAGAACTATATGGCTGAACCCAGATTGACATTTCAGAGCCATAAGGTGCTATCTGCGATTGCACCCCCATAAAAAAAAAACTGAATTTGTGGATTTTGATACTCTGCACTTTAGGTGCCTTTAAGATGAGGACCTTAATGGGTTTATGAAAGAAGAATTCACTACAAAACAGTTCTGAGATGTGAAAACTTTGATGCTCAATATCTCAGAACTATGCTTTGAGCAGGTCACGATATCACGGTCATTGTAAGTAGCTAGCGAACTAGTTCAGTTTTAATTCTCTCATAGCTCTAGTTAACTGACAAACAGAGGACACAATCACCAAGCAAGGCAACCACAGCTGTAGTCATGGAAGCCATTGGCTTGGCGGGAAAACGAACTACTACAACTCAACAGCCAACCCCCTCTCTCCATCCCTCCCTCCTCTCCTCCATTCAATGACTTGGATTTAAATAGAAAAAAGTTCCCTCCAAAACCCCGACCAGCTGTCTGAGCCAGGGCTCCCTGCTCCACCACAATGGTGGTGACATCATCACACCCCATCCACCCCTCTACTAGACCCCCCTTTTTAAAGAGGTGGTCCCTTATGATGTGGGAGCCACGAAGCAGACCCAACAGAGGGTCCCTTATCATGTGGGAGCCACGAAGCAGATCCCAAATGGCACCCTATTCCCTTTATAGTGCACTGCCCTGGTCTAAAGTAGTGTTAACCCTATGGGCCCGGGTCTAAAGTAGTGCACTATAAAGCGAATAGGGTACCGTTTGGGATGCAGCCAGAGAGAGGCTGATGGTTGAATGCAGCTCCCTCCTCTCCCCTCCATCTCTTTGTTCTGTCAGGACAAAAGGCAGTTTTCTCCACCAGGCTCACGGCCGGCCTTTCTCCCAGATTAATAACCCCAGCAGGGGGGCAGCTAACCCCCCTTTGTCCCCTTCTGCCCCCCTTTCCTTGGGGAATAGCCCCCCCCCCCAGACCCATCTAACTGCCCCCTACCTGGGTTAATGAGATGGGTCCGTTAGCAACACTATGGAGGGTGATTTGGCAACTGAACGTGTGTCAGGAGGAATAACCTACATTTCTGTTGGTCACTTCCTGCTGTGGCTTAGTAGGCCTAACGACTGAGCAAAGAGGATGTTGGTCACTTCCTGCTGTGGCTTAGTAGGCCTAACGACTGAGCAAAGAGGATGTTGGTCACTTCCTGCTGTGGCTTAGTAGGCCTAACGACTGAGCAAAGAGGATGTTGGTCACTTCCTGCTGTGGCTTAGTAGGCCTAACGACTGAGCAAAGAGGATGTTGGTCACTTCCTGCTGTGGTTAAGGCTTCCACATGCTTCAGTTCGGCTGGCACCTAGCCGAACTCGTCTAGGGTAACCGAACTCGTCTAGGGTAACCGAACTCGTCTAGGGTAACCGAACTCGTCTAGGGTAACCGAACTCGTCTAGGGTAACCAAACTCGTCTAGGGTAACCGAACGAGTGTGCTCGCATACTCGCTTGAAAAACAAGAAAAAAACGGCAATAGTACTGTTTGTACATTTTGAGATGCCGTAGCCAGTATACACTTCCTCAAAATAGTCAGAATTAATCTAAGATATCTCAATAAATGTCATTAATTTGGATGTTTTTGCAGAGGAAATCTTAGTCGCACAATTTGACATCTAACTAAGATGTTTGGTGCAGTATTTCTCAATGAAACAATGTGCATGAAAACGAGTCGTCTCTGAACGACAACAAATACTTTATTGAAGAATCCCTACTGTTGATCAATCACCGACGAAGGGGCTACCAACTTCGGCTTGCCTCGAGAAAACATTTTGTGTGCCTGAACAGCTGAAAAAACCCTCACCGAAGTCCAGAACGAAGAAAAACATCATAGAATTGTCACAAAATCGTCATAATATATGCACAAACTGTTCCGAACGGGAAGCAGGTCTACTGACTGAGCAAGGAGGACAGTGTAGACAGACTTATGACAGACTTGTTAGTGTAACTGGAATAGCCATAGCTAGGTAATTGTAATATATAATACTGTGTAGGCCATTTAGCAGACACTTTAATCCAGAGCAATTTACAGTCATGCGTGCATACATTTTACATATGGGTGGTCCCAGGAATTGAACCCACTACGCTGTCGTTACAAGTGACATGCTCTACCAACTGAGCTACAAAGGACCAATGTTAATCTAACACAGTCAAAGAGAAACCTTTTAGAATCTGGCAACAATTTACACAACTGTCCCACACTTACAGAAGAACTAAGTTGAATATTTTTCATTGACACATAGTTGAACGTTGTACTAATCTCCCCTCTCCTTCTCTCTCTCCTATAGACTCCATCCGTAATAATCTCCCCTCTCCTTCTCTCTCTCTCCTATAGACTCCATCCGTACTAATCTCCCCTCTCCTTCTCTCTCTCCTATAGACTCCATCTGTAATAATCTCCCCTCTCCTTCTCTCTCTCCTATAGACTCCATCCGTACTAATCTCCCCTCTCCTTCTCTCTCTCCTATAGACTCCATCTGTAATAATCTCCCCTCTCCTTCTCTCTCTCCTATAGACTCCATCTGTAATAATCTCCCCTCTCCTTCTCTCTCTCCTATAGACTCCATCCGTACTAATCTCCCCTCTCCTTCTCTCTCTCCTATAGACTCCATCTGTAATAATCTCCCCTCTCCTTCTCTCTCTCCTATAGACTCCATCCGTACTAATCTCCCCTCTCCTTCTCTCTCTCTCCTATAGACTCCATCCGTACTAATCTCCCCTCTCCTTCTCTCTCTCCTATAGACTCCATCTGTAATAATCTCCCCTCTCCTTCTCTCTCTCTCCTATAGACTCCATCTGTAATAATCTCCCCTCTCCTTCTCTCTGTCCTATAGACTCCATCTGTAATAATCTCCCCTCTCCTTCTCTCTCTCCTATAGACTCCATCCGTACTAATCTCCCCTCTCCTTCTCTCTCTCCTATAGACTCCATCCATAATAATCTCCCCTCTCCTTCTCTCTCTCCTATAGACTCCATCCGTAATAAAGGCGGCCGTGTGTTTGTCCACTGCCAAGCCGGCATCTCCCGCTCCGCCACCATCTGTCTGGCCTACTTGATGAGGACCAACCGCGTGAAGCTGGACGAGGCCTTCGAGTTCGTCAAGCAGCGGCGCAGCATCATCAGTCCTAACTTCAGCTTCATGGGCCAACTGCTGCGGTTTGAGTCCCAGGTCCTGGCTACGTCGTCCTGCTCGTCGGAGGCCGGGAGTCCTGCCCTGGGGAAGAGCAGTACGGTCTTTAACTTCCCAGTGTCTATCCCCATCCACGGCTCTGCTGGACATGGACAGCTCTCCTTCCTCCACAGCCCCATCACCACCTCACCCAGCTGCTAAGGTGGAGAGTAGGATCATATGGAGGGTTGTCTGTCTTAGCCTGGACTTGAACTGTACTGTCACAATACTGGTAGTGACAGGGTAGTGAGTGACAGGGTAGTAACAGGGTAGTAACAGGGTAGTGCCAGGGTAGTGCCAGGGTAGTAACAGGGTAGTGCCAGGGTAGTGCCAGGGTAGTGCCAGGGTAGTAACAGGGTAGTGCCAGGGTAGTAACAGGGTAGTGACAGGGTAGTGCCAGGGTAGTGACAGGGTAGTGCCAGGGTAGTAACAGGGTAGTGCCAGGGTAGTGCCAGGGTAGTGCCAGGGTAGTGACAGGGTAGTGCCAGGGTAGTGAGTGACAGGGTAGTAACAGGGTAGTGCCAGGGTAGTGCCAGGGTAGTGCCAGGGTAGTGAGTGACAGGGTAGTAACAGGGTAGTGCCAGGGTAGTGCCAGGGTAGTGCCAGGGTAGTGCCAGGGTAGTAACAGGGTAGTGCCAGGGTAGTGCCAGGGTAGTGCCAGGGTAGTGCCAGGGTAGTGAGTGACAGGGTAGTAACAGGGTAGTGCCAGGGTAGTGCCAGGGTAGTGCCAGGGTAGTGCCAGGGTAGTAACAGGGTAGTGCCAGGGTAGTGCCAGGGTAGTGAGTAACAGGGTAGTAACAGGGTAGTGCCAGGGTAGTGCCAGGGTAGTGCCAGGGTAGTGCCAGGGTAGTGAGTGACAGGGTAGTGAGTGACAGGGTAGTAACAGGGTAGTGCCAGGGTAGTGCCAGGGTAGTGAGTAACAGGGTAGTAACAGGGTAGTGCCAGGGTAGTGCCAGGGTAGTGCCAGGGTAGTGCCAGGGTAGTGAGTGACAGGGTAGTGAGTGACAGGGTAGTAACAGGGTAGTGCCAGGGTAGTGCCAGGGTAGTGCCAGGGTAGTGACAGGGTAGTGCCAGGGTAGTGACAGGGTAGTGACAGGGTAGTAACAGGGTAGTGACAGGGTAGTGCCAGGGTAGTGCCAGGGTAGTGCCAGGGTAGTAACAGGGTAGTGCCAGGGTAGTGCCAGGGTAGTAACAGGGTAGTGCCAGGGTAGTGAGTGACAGGGTAGTGAGTGACAGGGTAGTGACAGGGTAGTGCCAGGGTAGTGCCAGGGTAGTAACAGGGTAGTGCCAGGGTAGTGCCAGGGTAGTGACAGGGTAGTGCCAGGGTAGTGCCAGGGTAGTGCCAGGGTAGTGACAGGGTAGTGACAGGGTAGTGCCAGGGTAGTGAGTGACAGGGTAGTGAGTGACAGGGTAGTGACAGGGTAGTGCCAGGGTAGTGCCAGGGTAGTGCCAGGGTAGTGCCAGGGTAGTGACAGGGTAGTGCCAGGGTAGTGCCAGGGTAGTGAGTGACAGGGTAGTGAGTGACAGGGTAGTGCCAGGGTAGTGCCAGGGTAGTGCCAGGGTAGTGCCAGGGTAGTGCCAGGGTAGTGCCAGGGTCATTGCCAGGGTAGTGCCAGGGTAGTGCCAGGGTAGTGCCAGGGTAGTGACAGGGTAGTGCCAGGGTAGTGCCAGGGTAGTGCCAGGGTAGTGCCAGGGTCATTGCCACTGTACTGTCAGTGTCACTCAACTACAGGTGACTAATCATTGAGTTCTAGAACTGATGGAACCCTCATTGATGCCCTTCCTGGTGTAAAGGTCATTGATGCCCTTCCTGGTGTAAAGGTCATTGATGCCCTTCCTGGTGTAAAGGTCACTGATGCCCTTCCTGGTGTAAAGGTCACTGATGCCCTTCCTGGTGTAAAGGTCACTGATGCCCTTCCTGGTGTAAAGGTCACTGATGCCCTTCCTGGTGTAACGGTCATAAAGAAGTGATTCTGGCATCACTGGACAAAAGGGCTAACTTTTGGAGAGACAAGCCAAGTGGCCTAGTTTACATTTTTTTACATTTACATTTTTTGTCATTTAGCAGACGCTCTTATCCAGAGCGACTTACAGGAGCAATTAGGGTTAAGTGCCTTGCTTAAGGGCACATCGATAGATTTTTCACCTAGTCGGCTCAGGGATTAGAACCAGCGACCTTTCGGTTACTGGCACAACGCTCTTAACCACTAAGATACCTGCCGCCCAGTTTATGGGTTAAATCCACAGGTCCGCCCCATTGCCTTGAAAGGAGTTTCTCTCACTACCAATATGGCAGTATGGTTATCACAACATCCTCTGTAGAATAAGGAGTGACACCCACAGATCTACCTA